ATATTCTTCTTTCTTCGCACGTGTCTCGTTGTTTAGTCGTACAAATGTTTTCAACACCAAGATCGATGAATGTTGTCAAATCATACATCAGAGAGCTCATGTTTACAGACTTTTTACAGAAGGCATTTTGAACATTTTCTTTTCTTTAATTCATTACAGGCAATGTATAATTACTCAATGTATAGTTGCAATTAGCAATGTATAGTTTCTTTATTATAGGCAATGAATAATATTTTCAAAAAAAAAAGATAATTTTTTATAAATACGAATGTTTTAATCATTTAATGTATAATCATTTAATGTATAATAACGCAATTGCGAACGTAACAATTCAAATTAATGCAAAATCAGACGTTCCCACTATCTTTATTTATCAACCGTTTAGAATATCTGAAAGTTACGTGCCTTTGCAAATACGTGCTATTATAAGCGAGTGATTACTGATAAATACATTTTTTTGTACCTTAAACTCTGTTTCTTACATGCATCTTCATTCCTTGCATCAACTTTTTTCTGCATTTTAACTTTAAATGTTGTATATTTTTGTAATCTTTAAGATAAATCAATTACATAGAATATAAAAAAACATTTTCTTTAAAGCGCTTGAATCAGTACTATGGATATATCGACTCGTATTATATTAGATCCCTTTTCCAGGAGCGAACTGAGATGCTTGTACTCGATCTAATTATTCTTGAACAATAATTGTTATAAATAATGAAAAAATGTTCTCTCTAAAACAGTAAATGGAAAGATCGACACGTATCAAAACGGACTTGCTCATTCTTATTGTTTTAGCTTTCCTTCGTTGATGAAAAAAGAATTGTTTGATCTGAAACTCGTTTTCTCATTATTTCCTCGAAGATGCTATCGGACTCTCTTACTTCATATTACTGACTCTCATTCGTTACATGCAACAATTATTTTTTATCATATAAGGATCTAGACATAATGAAAAGCACAAACAGTATAAACAGAAAATAACACACATGGGCAATATATTATACATACTTCAATCTACCAGAAATTGACGTGCATTGATATATGGTTTCCAATAGGTTGAAATCTATCATGCCTATGTGTTACATATTTATTGTGTATGCTTTTCATTGTATCTGAATCCTAAGAATGCAATTTCAACATTGTGCAAAGTATTTCATCGTATGCTCGTATCAATTGATGCCCACGCAGCAATGAGGTAAGAGACCATTTATTACACTCACCCCCCAAGATTATTGCCCATACTAATAATAATGCCGCAAAAAGACCCATGGTAAGTCGGTTGTAACAAATTATCTGCTATTTGTCATGCACATATTACTTAGTCTTCAAACATACATTTCTCGCACATTTGAAAAAAGTATAATGTTACTATAAAAAAATATATGTTGAGCTAGAAAAAAGTTTGTAGTGCTTCAAAATTCAAATAGCTACAATTTTTAAAATAGCTGTTATAATTAAAAATAGCTATAATTTCAAATAGCTATTATTAAAAATTAACAAAGTTTAAATTTTAATGCAGAGGTTTGAGAGTTTAAGAAACTCTACTTTCGAAAGAAATCATCTTTTGAGTTTCTGTGACTTTGATAATTTTTATATTCTATAGAAAACTACGATTTGAACAAAATAAAAAATATTCTAACTTTATGGGCCTATTACGTGCCTAAAAAGAGTTAGAAAGTTTTCCATTTTCTAACATGAATAATTAAAATTTTCTCTGCAAAATGATTTTTTAATGTTCTTAAGATTTTTTTGTTATTAAATTATTACGGATTAAATAAAACGAGTATTTTGACTTTGATTGCTCATGCACTTCATTAAAAATCATCGCGCGCGCGTATCATAATTTAAAAAATAGATTCTTAAAGCTGAACTTTACTCTATCAAATAATATAATTGCTAAATTTTTTTAATATATTGATATGCTATTAAACGAAGTAGCATTACGAACTTTTGTTTCAACCCAATTGATATATTTCGCGATGCAATTCTTCATTTTTATACTTATCTATTGGGTCGTCCGGAAAGTCCGTGCGTATTTTCCGGACGACCCAATATATATGTATACTCTTTGTCTTCTCTCTTTCTCTCTCTCTCTCTCTCTCTCTCTCTCTCTCCCTCCCTTCTTTCCCTTCCGCCCTCCCATTGATAATTTCATACAATAATAATTAATATTCTTATGTACGTGCAATATCGCACATAATACGGACGAAAAGCAAATCAGATATGACTGCACGAATGTGTCTTTGACATGTACGCTGTGGATAAGAACATTTTTAAAAGAGCGACAAATCAGTTTGGATTTTATATAGGTTGTAAAGGAAGATGCATCTGCATCAATCTTATGGAGCTTGTGGAATTGTGCTTATTCTGGCAATATTAGGAATTACATGTGAGATCTCGTGGGCCAGTAAACAATGTAAGACAGTCGTGATGGATGTACACGTGAAAAGATGTAGGCTCGGTACTGAGAGAGCCAAAAGAGGCCTGGAAAAATTCGATCTGCAAAAATATACTGACAAGTATGAAGCGAAGAGACAGGAAGAATCCGGTAAGCGAATAAGATTTTAACGTATATCTTTTACGTATATCTTTTTTAAGATAATAGAGATGATTACACGTCATTATTTAATCTCTAGATTACACACAAAAATACTTTGCCACAAAGTGTTTATCAAATTATTACGCAAGTAACATGTTGACATTATTTGTCGTCATTTTGACGTAGTCGTAGTAATTGAAAAAAGAAACAAACTCTGAAGTCAAAGCCCCCGTTTCAAGCTGCACTCGGGTAGGAGTCCTCTTGTAAGAGTAGCTGACGTATCTTTAAAAGTAATTGATTTTCATGCAATGGATTTTTGTGTTGATTTTAAAGCTATGGCATAAGATTCATTTAGTTTTAATGAAGATTGATATTAATTGTTTGTGTAATAGAAAATGGCGCGGGATACTCATCTGCACCCGAGCGCAATAAGCCTCTGAAATAGTGCTATTTAGAATTTGTTATAGCTTGCTTGGACACATTAGTGAGCACTGATAGCTGTTTTGCACTAATTTAATTTGAGTAAAAGTAATATGCAAATATCTCAGATTATAAAATATAAATTTTACTTAACAGCACAATAAAATACATATATATATATTGAGAATTTCATGATTTAATCCATTTTTCTATTTATATTAAACACAATTTTTATATATCGGTTTCTGTATAACAGCTTTAATGCGCACCAGTGCGCATCCTATTGAATTTTCTGTTAATTATATTATAGAGCTGAGGAGGTTTACTTGAAATTCTTGTATCGTTCATCTTTTCTCCTTTTCTTTCTACATTAGAGAGTATAATTCTATTTTTCTTCAGATTATTCGAAGCCGAAAGATTCGATGTCGCATGGCGTTCCACAGAAAAGGCAACTGACACTCGAACAAGTCAGTGGTATTGCCTTGCCAATTGTCACGAAAGCTATAAATGACGCCTCCAAAGCTCGAGCGTATGCATCCGGAATAGGATCTCATGACTCCAGCCTAACGACGGGATCTATTCTCAATCGACCAGGATATCTCTGGGCACCTTATCCGTTCGGCAGGAGTTTTATACCCTTCCGCACTCCGGTAAGCCAATCGCCTCTGGGATCCAGTCTGTTATTTAAGAAGCGGCCTCTAGTCAATCCATCAAGATCAATATTGCAATCCATTAAGCCGCTTTACAATTATGGACTAAAACGCTTTCCGATCGTGTGATTCATCTCGCTGTAATTCTTTGTTAAAAATGGAGCTTTTAGATGTATAACGCGACAAATAAACTTGATAAACTTGATAACTTGATAAACAGTGTAACAATGAAAATGTTCTAACGTGTCATGCGTTTTGCGTTACCTGTGTGATTAACATATATGTATGCAACTACAACTGCGCTGTATGCAAATTCCTCCGACGATATAGTGTCTCGACTTCTCTCGACTGACTCACAACAGAGCAAGATAAACAGATGGTATCAAACACGCGCAAAGTATCAGGCTGAATAATTTTAACAATATCGTGCGACATGTAATAACTAACATAATTAATATTAATCCCCCGGAGCTGACGTCAAAATCTGTAACACGATTATTGACGATAGGTCTGTAAAATCCATTTATTAATGTTAAAATTGAAAGGCACTAATTAATTTCGAAGAGCCAAAATACTCTAAAAAAATATTTAAAAAAATATGAATGTTAAATATATTTTAATAAGAATATAATCCAAATTTGCAAATATAATATGAAGAAGATTAATTTGTTTGACATTTTTGACAAAAAGATTTATAATTTAATGGATTCAATAAACCTTCAGCTCCGGAAAGTTAATGTAGGAATATGTTAGTAAACAATCAATTAAATCGAGAAAGAAAAATAGGAGATTTAATCAAACGGGGCTAATGGTGAATCTGGATATAAAAGCAACAGAAAAAAATCAGACTGGCATATAATATTCGGCAGGCCTATAACGACGATCTCGATCTCAATCTGAACGCCGAGGAACTGGATGAATTGTACAATGATATCTACGAAAGACTACCGAGAGCTTCGAAAGATGAAGCTTGGAAGATTTTCTTAGAAACAGCCTCGAAATGTTGCCAAAACGTCGACAAGTGTCTTAAGGAAACGACGCACGTACCTTGTCTTGGAAGTCGGACATCTTAATGCGTTGATCGCCATGATGATCGACGCCTACTTTTCATTGACGCTCTTATAGTGATCACTGATAGCCAGCATTATCAAAATTTTTTTAATACTTGTACAAAAAAATATAAAATTTAATATAAAATTTTGAATGACATAAAAAAAATAACTAAATAATAATGTAAAGTAAAAAATGTGCGATTCATATACCTAAGGTGTGATCCACTTAATACTGCAGATGATTCAAAGCATTCTTTGATTGAGCAATTCGTAAAATTCTTTCTGCTGATTGATCAACAAAACAACGTTAAGTAGATCGCACCTCTTTATGAAATTTTATTTAATGCAACCTTATTTTATATTTATCATTATATTCTTATGAAGATCTTACTATGATACATGAGGTGAATCTTGAATGAATGTCTCAACGTTTTATCATGGGAGATAAATTATCGATTGCAGCTGGAAAAAGCGTAAGAGAGAGTGAAATATTTATTTCCCATGATAAAACGTTGAAACATACATTATGATTTATCCTGTATGTCATAGGATAAAAAATACTCATTAGGCACACATTAAGAATTAAAAATTACAATTACTAAATTTTAATATCTTTTAAATTTAAAACAAGTAGAAGAACACGTATAAAAAAGTTATAAATACAGCCTTGATAAAAAATATAAAGTACCCTCTCCTCAAATTGACGTAAACGTTGTAAATATTATAAAAAATAAATTAAAAAAGTTTTATTAAAAAATAATATTTATTTTTAATATTTTGTTAATTTTTCTTTGGATTATCGCTTTATGTTCTTACTTTTCCAAAAAAATTCAATAAATTAAATGTGCTTTATACCAAATTTAACCAAAATTGTACAATAAAAAATTTATTATCTTACTTTGCAAGTTTATTATTTTACTTCTCAATCAATTTCCTACTTTTGTACGAGGATGTTCGGCGAAATAAATGAAATACCAGTCAGTATGTATAAATGTTTATTGGTCGCTATTATAAACGCAGATGTCAACTGAAAATTTTAAATGGCAAGTAAAAAGAATGTATGCTATTCAATATGTGTTGCGTGATAAAACTTCTGTATCTACAACTACCTCTCCTCCGAATCTTTAATATCTACTTTTTTTTTTAAAAACCTACAATTCCGCATGTAAATTTCGTCCGTTCATCGACGGACTAGTAAAGTACGCGTTCGTCGATGTGTTTCAAAGATAAACTCTAAGTTAAATTTTAAATTTAAAACAGAGCTTTTAATACTAATGAGATCAATTGTCAATAAAACTAAGATCACCGACAAATGTCCGATACGGGCTGCTTCTCGCGCCTGCAAACACTTGTATTCAAATCACTAAGTCTTTCTTTTTTTTTTCTTTTGAGAGATTATTACGCTACCCGATTGTTCGGATTGCATTCAAGTTCATCACAATTGCATTTTCGATATTCAAATCAGCGATTCCCCCATGAGTCGTCATCGAAACTCACTTCTTTAACGACATTGTTTTTGCTAGTGAAGGAAAGCAATGAAATAATAATATCTGGAACAGCATCTGTCCCGTCAATGTCGCCGTCGAGCAATTGATCCTCCATGCTCCCTCAATCGCGAATTCTTCTATGTCAAAATGGATGATACTATTCGTCGTTGCACTTCCTATATCAACACTATCTATTAACACTAATACGCGTGGTAAGGCTGAATTTTTTATAAATAATATCTCTTCCACGCAAATCATTCTTTCGATTCGATTTATCCCTTCTCAAGTTTCTTCTTTACTAGCATTCATCCGTGTGCAAACTCCATCAATTATTTAAATGATGTGATCAAGAGAAAGTAGCAAATCGAAGTTTGGCATTGGAGAATCAAATAACTTCGCTCTAAATCGTTTCGAACGACGTAGGTTCGTCAGTTGTCAATGGTGTTACAAATTTGTTGCCTAAAGATTTAGCGTTGTTGCGTAAAACCTGAAACAATAGATATACGCCTGCGTTACAATCGTTTGAAACTTCCTTAATGTTTGAGAATTATCTTAAAATTATTGTTTATAGAATTATATTTATACAAGACAGCACGTGCAAAAGTAATTGATGGCTGTGCAAAGCTGCAAATTCACCGTGGTAACAAGCAGTCGAACGTCATGCAAAATGGAAAAAAGAAAAAAAAATACGATAGCACCCATCTATTACATAATTATTTTTAGATGCAAACATAAACTTATAGAGAAGTCTGTGGATGCCAAAGAGATAGAGCATGAACCATCCATGTGTAAAAATGGTCAATAAAAATAAGAGAGATAGAACGTGAAAATAGCCAGTCTCTATATCTTTCCATTTAATCAATCACAATATGTTAGAAAAAGAAGGAAATTAATCGTTTTTACGCTCCCTCTCTCTTATTTTTATTAATCACATTTGACGTACTGTTTATATACGAATGGCGCAGTCTATGCTCTACGCCTTTGGTACAAAGTATAAGTTAATTTTAAAATAACTAAAGTGTAATAAGTAGTAGTAAAAGCAGTACGCAACACCGTACACAATAATCATATCAAGCATGTTTACAGCTTCTAAAAGACTACTGACGCCTCAGATACACACACACACACACACACACACACACACACACACACACACACACACACACACACACACACACACACACAAATCTTAAATAACAAAAATTCGGTATTAAGATAAAGATAATTCGATTTGAAGTTTTCCTTCAAATCTTTTCTTTCTGCCGTTCTTCGATTGAAGAGAATAAGTAATATATGAAACATATAATTTTTAGATGAACATCCCAAAACATATTGGCTTGTACACTGAGAGAAAAGTTTGTAATATTTATGACTTAATTGCGTAATAAGATATTATGGTTAAGATCTCCATTTTTATTATTACTATAAGCCATAATATTAATAATAATGTTAATAATAATAATAATTGTTCAATGCAGTAAATTGAACTTAGCAAATGTTAAATAATTACATATTATTCGAAAGATTGCGTTGCGGATGTTAATAGCGTTAATTAGCAAACAGGCATTAGATCACAGTTAGCATGAAAGAGAACGATTGCGACAGAGTTTATAAGTAAAAACATCCATCTATATCTATATCTATCGATCTATGAGACTTTAATCGTAAGAAAAAAAGTTATCATAAGCATTGTCATAAAATCTCTATGTATTATGACCTGTGTCGTACAATAACTAACCATTTGCTCATATATGTTTTATATCATGAAAAGAAATAAATTAATTATTGTGTGCTGTAACATTAATAATACAACTACCCAGTAAGTTACACGTAACGTAATTGTTACATATTTCTGTTACATATCACTTTCCAAATTTTACAAATTTGTTACTTGGATAAGCAGGAAATGGAATTTCACTATTTATTACTAAGCCCTATTTGTGCGGTATAAGAAAAAAAATAAATATCTCAAATTTTTATTGACCATTGATTATGTTATTTTATCAGTTCTTGTTTTTTAGTAAAATATAATTTTTTTGTATTAATGCTGCAAAATTTGTAACTTACACCGATGAAAATGATGGAAATATGGCAGACATGCATTATTTAAAAGATTGCACTCCAATTATATATTGAACATGTATAGTTCATGTCATATATACATATTAGATAGATTTTCAGTGACACTCACTGAAAGTGTATATTAGAACGTAAAAAAAATCTCTGATAAAATATTTATGATAAATTAAATAAGAATTAAATAATAAAATAATAAATTGAAATACAAAAATTAAATAAAATTTAATCTAACACAGCAAATATTGGGGAAACAAAGAAAATAGATATCTTTTTTATTAAATTACTAAAATTTTGAATCCGAAGCAAAGTTTTAAATTTCCAAACATGCATAGGCGGAGTTAAGTGCCTCCCGCTCCTTATTATTACACACGCTGCAATTCCGCAAGTTTTAAAAGTCCACTACATTGATTCTACTATATATTTTCAATGTAAATTACAAATTTTAAAATGTTAATACAACTAAAAAACCTACAATTTGTTTAAAAACAAGAATTGACAAAATAACATGGCGAATAAAAATATATTTCTTTTTTACTTATATTAGGTAGGGCTTAGAAATAATTCACTTTCTGGTTACCCAAGTAACAAATCTGTAAATATTTGATATCATTGTGAGATTTATACTTAGGAACGTTCCTATGTCAATAATATAATAATTGTAACATGTATATTATTTTTATAGTTATATTTTTGAGTGGAAAATTACACTCATTTTTTCGAAAATATTGTAATCTTATTGGCTGTCGTAACGCCAGACAAACGTCGTACTCGTTATAGGCGTTCTACATACTACCTATAAGCATCCTAAGCTTTAGCTATTTTCCTTTTAAAAGAAGACACATAATCGACACAAAAGTCATTCTATCTTTTTTGACAATGAATAACAAAGATAGAACGACATTTGTGTCGACCATTTTGATATTACAAATGCTTCGAAGCATTTTTTGATAATTAATAAAATTTTGCCTCCGATTGGTCAATCAAAAGCTTCGAAGCATTTATAGCGCCCTGTGCCTCTTAAAAGGAAAGCAGCCTTTAAGTCTTAAACCGTAAGAAATTGACCAATTATAGTCGATTATTCTTCTCACATACGACTATAATTGATCAATTTCTTCCTGATGGAGATTTAAAATTTAGGTAATGGTTTATTATAAAAAGCCTATATAAGAGTTGAATCAACTCATACGATGAGCTCATGATAGCTAAATCGATCAGTGAACATTACGATCATTGTAATAAGGAGCTTACGATAGACATTACGATAGATGTAGATGAATCTTTAGGTGTTAATAGGCAAGCAATGACGACATGTGACGTTTCATGAAAGCACCTTGCCAGCTCGGCGACATTCCAGACGCCGACGCCGGCATCTACAATGCCTGCCGCGGTGTCGCTTTTTCGCATCAGCCTTCCCCTTGCATTCACCATCATTATTGCGACCACTTTTCCCCCTGTGCCGTCCCCTTTTCAAATCATCGACCTTACGTTTTATCGCATCGCCGGCGTAGTCCATCTCCGTTTGTGAATGCTGTTCCAGAAGATCTTTCGTCGTAGAATGAGGTAGATTCGCTATATACGACAGATCTCTGAAAATGTAAAGAGAAAAATGCATAAGTAAGCGAATCGTAAGACGGGAAAAGTTATTCTCGACGAAAATCCAATATTATATTAATAATTGATATCTACGCTCGGATTTATCTTTCAGTCTCCTATGCAACTCGTAATTATATCAATTACATGTTTCTTTTAAACTTTCGCGAAATTATTACGATCACAGATCGATGACCCTACATCCGAGTTTAATGAACACCGAGGATTAGCAAGCAAACACACTTCTCGTCGACATTAAAAATATGATAAACATGTCGTCTGATATGGGAGACAAGAACGCAGGTTCATAACGCAGAACAAAAAAAAAATCTATAAACACTTGTGCAAGAAGATTTGATTACGATTTTAGGTGAACAACAAAAAAACAAGTCGCACAATTCGATAAACTCAATGGATTGGCCGCAAAAACAGTGAGAGGAAAGGGAAGAGGAAACTGTTGTTACGCACAACAGCAAATCGTCCTAGTACTTCGGACTAACCCTCCTGAGATCAATTCATACACAACCATGAACTTTAGGCAGAGATTATCACGGAAGCAATGATAACGTAGTTTTGTTCTCTCTCCCTCTCTCTCTCTCTCTTGCGCGCGCGCGCGTGCGCGTTCTCTCTGTCTCTCTTTTTCTTGGCTTCTGGTTCACGTACTCTGGAGAATATACGCTCTCTCGAGAGAGTGCATATTAATCTCCCTCCCTCTAAACGCTCCATGCAGATCATCTACTAATCAGCTGACAACGCGAAATAAATGATTCAGCGCGTCAATATAGGTAAATAATTACATAATAATTCGTTACGCGTTATAACACAATCGGCTATTTATACATCCAATTCGTCTCGCCATCATAAACGGAAATAAATCAGCTTATCGTACAAATAATATACACTTTCAATTAAGATTCAATAAGTAACAGATCTTTAGTAACACTTCGAGATGTCAAAATGAGATATTTTTGATGTTTGTTTCCACATTCGCGCGCAAAATCAGTCCGGTTGTGTAGTATGATTATGACTTTTTTTCATATTTATGTACGAAAGACAGAGTATCTGTTTGAGAATTTCGAATAAGATCCTTTTTAATTTATTGGCGCGTTTAAAAGAGATCCGGTATATTTAAAGGAAACCAATTAATAAACGTGCATTCGAATAAAATTCTCGCAGATTCTAATGTAATTAGTTGATAATAAATATATAATTGCAATAATAGAAAGAAGAAAAAGAAAGACGTACACACTGCAAGTGTCACACAAAAGTTTCAAAAAATTATTTAAAATTGGCATTTTTAGGATTATTAATTCACATATTCAATGTGTTTTTTTTTTTAAATAAATAATTCTTTATATCTAATAACTTAGTTATTAAATCTGAAAAAAATATATTGTTAAAAATACACATTGAATAGTTGAGTAAATAATCTCAAAAGTGTCATTTCAAACCTTTGGCTTGGAGTGGACATAAAACACAACAAGACAATATAAAAAATAAAGGCAATATAAAAAATAAAATGACGTGTAAAATGTAATTAAGAATATAATTTAGTAACATGTATAAGAAAAGAGTAAAATTAGAAAGGGAGCTAAAGAGAAACACTCTCTTTCTAATGTGATCTCTTTTTTTTATACATCTATATTAGAAAAGGTATAAAAAAAGAGGGAAAGGTGAATAATAAAAACGTAAAAGAATGCACTAACATCCACTCACATAACGTCGTCCCTCGAGTCGATCCGTTTCTCCGCAGGAAGAGGCTTGCAATATTGTTCCATTTGTTCGTAGGTGCACTGATGATAGCAGCACTCCTCGACAAGTCCCGGGCCGGGATCAATTCTCGACTCATCCTCGTTACTGTAGAATGGTTCGTTGTAACCACGATCCCTACACATGACCTGCAGGGCATCGCTCAGTTTTCTTGAGCACAGTTTCTGCATCCGTTGATGCGACTTCTTGAAAATGACATTGTCAGCATCGACGGCGTACAGAACACTCAGGAAAATCAACGCTGTCAGAAGCACCGCTTCGTTCATCGCACGTATCATCATACTGATGTCAAAAGTTGTAGAAGAAGCGGCTGTCTCTGAGACTTCCAGGAGTCTTGATATCTCGAAGCGCACCTCAATACAACACTTTTCGTAGTCGCATTCGCCGACCGAATTGTTATATATACATATATTTATTGTTTAAATAAGCTTACTATTTATATATACTGTATATTGTCCCGTGACACAGTTCCACGACCGCAACTGCAGAAGGACCCCTTTATTATATTCGGTCTTGACGTTGCGATCTAAAGTTTCGTGGTCTTTAGAAGAAGCTTTATTTTCCAGCGGCGATTGCCGTTTCGTCTCCTTGATTTTTGCAATTCTCCCGTGATCACAAGAAAGAAATCGTGAAATGATGACGAGGACCGAAGTCTTGAAAAGAGCTCCGTTGGTACCAAGTTCGTTGATATAACTGGTACCGGGCCGCCTCACCACGCGGTTCTTGTTCTAGATTTCAGGGATTAGGGGGAGAGAGGTATGATAAGGAGGGAGTAACAGTGTGGCAGAGGTAGGAGAAGAAGAAGAGAAGAAGGAGGAGGAGGAGAAGGAGGAGGAGGAGGAGGAGGAGGAGGAGGAATAGAAGCTCGGTAGTCGGTGGTAGAGTCTGGTAGACGAGTTCCCGCCGGTCGTCGGCGACATCGGCGTAAAGAGGAGCAGAGAAATCGTTAGGCGGCTAGACGCATGTCCGATAGCATCACACAGTACACACAAATTCGTTTTTTCGTGCCATTCAATGGAGGGGGGGGGAGAGGGAGAGGGAGGGGGCATTTCTCACCGAAAGCCAGAGAGTGACCGGCGTGGCAGACGGGATGAAAGCCAGCGACGCGACGATTCGCTCTCACTTCGGGAAATGGCGAGCACTTCACGCGCCACATGAGAAGTACGAAGTACATACATTCCTGAAGTATGACATAATGTATTCTTTTGTTGGACGGACTTCGCGCGCCCCTTTTGTACCAGCCGGCCGGGCCCAACCCGCCGTCTGGCTCGCGAAGACAAGACCCCCTTCTATTCATTTGTCACTCACGGGGATACCGTCGCGCTTCATCCCTCCGTCTCCCCCTGAACAAAGCAATCTTTTTATCGAGGATACGAAACAGCGTTGTCTCTTCGGAATGTTTCCCGTAGCCCGTAGCGAAGTCTGCGAAGTCTCGGTTTCTCTTCACGCTGCGCCGCGACACTAGACGGTTATACGATACCGCATTATGCTATTGTACAATACCTCGCGCGAGTCCAAACTAATGCTCCCGTGACTGCGTTCGACTGTTGTAGCGGCAAATTCAAGAAACCAGAATGAGTAGGGAAAAAATTGCATATTAGACTGGTTATTTTGGATTCATCGGAGGGGAACACCATCCACGTTAATTGCCCCATTTAACCCTTCATCGGCGATAATTTTGCATTTTCCGTCCAGCAGTCTGGATCTTTGCAATTTAAATTTTACTGCAGATTTTTATATTGCTCGAACTGTATAAAAAAAAAATCTAAAAATATGTTTTTTACTATCATAGTAAAACATCAACTAATAGTAACATTGGACGATATCAAAATATTATAATTTCCTACTCAACAAATATGAATATAGATATAAATATAATATAACGCGTATTGTACGTAATAGTTACAATGTTGAGTATAAAAATATAACAATGATGTAATTTTACTATTAGTTATTAGATCAGATTGTATTTTATTTATACTCTTAACAGATATTTAAATTTATCTATTAAAATAATTTACGACAAAAAGATCGATTGTACCTTTAAAATTCCACATTGCCGGCGGAGAATTGAAATAGATACATATAAAATTATGCATCCGTATAATAAAACCTACAAGAACATGAAAAAAATTATTTGTACGTGTCTATATATAGGTATATAGGTAGCTGCTTCTCATGCAATAAAAATGTGCAACGATTGCGCTTTCTGCTCGGCGCAGTAGAAGAGTAAATAAAATCGCTAGTGATCTGTGACGAATTGCGTTTCAGGATCGAGTGACACGTAAATAGATCGCATTTCGCAAATAATTGCAGGAGTATGTATACCATCGAATGCCTTTAGCTCTATTATATCGATTACGTATCTAACGCAGGATACCGTTTCGAACGAAAGTGGAATAGCTGTTGGTTACGGTTTTGTATCAATGAAGACAATCGTTTTCTTATCTTTGTATTATCGACCCACGGGGAGCCAGCGATAATCGGTCACGGTATCAGGGATTTGCAAAAATACAAAAAGATCACGCCAAATGATCTGTGATTCCGATCGAAGACAAAGTGTGGTCCATTATCGGCAGCTTTAATTGATCGCCGCAACTGTTTCGTCTCAGTCTGACATATCGGTCGCATTTTTTTGCAGATAGAGAGGTCACTCCTCGCGACCTGCTACCCTCGTTTTCTTTCTACCGATCTTAGCAATTTCGATATCTTTTGACGAATATATAGACATATATATCCCTGCTGAATATATCTCGTCTATTCATAGATCCCCAGTAAACAGCACCTTAGCAGGTCTTACTCCATAAAGCTACTTTTGAGGGAATTTGCACGAAAAGATCGATACAATACAAATCGGAGAGCAAGTGTAAAAGCAAATATAAAAGGATAGTAACAGAAATGTAAACAAAGCTTCTAAGAGACAAAAATGGAGATTATAAAATATTAAAAAAGCCTAGGAAGGTAAATATCACGATAACTGAATTTGTCCAGTTACTGACAAATCAACAATATTTGTAATTATTAAGATTTGGAATTATTAAGATTTGTCAATAACAACAAGAAAATGGCAAATTTAAAAGAAGTTAAATATTTCATATCATATTATAAGTTTCATATCATACTACAAGTAATAGAAACATATCTTCATGCATCTTCATACGGATCTTCGCGTTTAACTTCTTTGAAGATAGAAATGTATGAAAACGCTAACTCTTTATTGTAGCTCGGAAACAAGATCAGATAGACAAAATGTTTATATAAACTTATTGTGTTATATTCTTTTAATGTTTTAAATTTATTTCTGAAATTAATGTCCACATGAGACACCCTACATTTCCAATATATTATTTGCTAAATATGTATAGAATATGGAATATATTGGGTAGATTTTACATTGCGGGTCTAGCAAGATCGTCTTTTATCTAACAGATAATTGGTGTGTGATATCGTGTTTTTGTTCAACAATGATATCGAAAGAAGTATAACAACCAACCAAAAGTATTATCGTAGACTTCGACACATCGAGTCTGCGACAACAAGTCAACGACTCGCGCATAGAGGAATGTTCGATAATCGGGCCTCGGTGTCATTATCGCTGGAATGTGAGAACTTTCAGGTAGAAGAAAGCACGTGGCTCGGCCCGTGTCTATTTATAGACACAATCGCAAGTGTCTGCTCATGCAACGAAACCGCAGTCGGATCTGTCGGATAGTTTTACATTTGCGTCACGTATGCGTACGGTAACGCATGTAATCTTTCTTTTCCTTTCTCTCTCACTCTTTCTCCTTCTCTCCGATAGGACACACTTGCAAAAGGCGATACGCGAATATCGCGAATATCGCGAATATCGCGAATATCGCGATTGCGGCGCGGCTTGACACAGATGAAAAGAAGAATTTCCCTAGGAATCGCACGTTCTTGCGTGACACGCGGATGCAGGAGGATGTCGGGATGCATGCGGAGCAGCCAAGGACACGATGCGCCACGTGCTGCAAACTACTATCGTGGCGATGCACTCGCTTACACGCGCGCACGTGATTTCTAAGTGCGCGCCGTTGTAATAGCGACCACTTACGTGACGTCTATTGAGCCTAAGTGAACCGCCTGCACACGGCGCAAGGAGAGGTGCGAGCCGCGCCACTTTAGAAAACTCGTGGAAAACTAGCCTCAAGTGGCCACACGTGGATCGTTAGCCTGTCAGCCCGTCCCGGCCAACGCGGACGAGACAGCCAAGAGGGGATCCTAAGACGAACCGATTTTACGCGCGGATCATCATGTGAATCAAAAGTAGAATTATCCGTTTCCGAGAAATGTAAATGCATAGAGCAACGATGATTGTTCAGTTAAATTGAGCTAAATCTTTCTTGTCATCAGGTAATTATATATCATTAAGGTCTGATTATACGACATATTTTTACTTAACAACTGGCGTGCTAGTTCTCTTCTAGCGAATCGCGGAAAAATTTTAGTAACTGAAAAAAAGATAACTCCATAAATTAATTTTTTAGCAGATAATTTTTCTAAAAGATGTTTAATTTCTGAAATTATTTTTCGCTGAAATTAATTTTCTAAAAATGTGTAATACGGAATATTATTCTTTTTGTTGCTAATTTTCTAAAAAGATATATCTTATAAATTTAAAATTATATGTATATAAAAATAATGTAAAAGACAACAATAAAAACTTTTACAGATTTGTATATGTGTATATCTTGATGTCGTCAAATGACTATTATTAAATGTTTTGAATCTATTTGAAGTTCTCCTTAGCAATCAAGTACGATTCATTTTCCCACATATTCATCCTCAGTACGTCAGAATTGAGTCACTAACAAAACAAATTGCCAGATTTAAATGTAACAAAAATCAATAATATAAAATTATATTAAACAAGTATATAATTGAAAATTATATATTTGATAAAAACATATATTTGGATAAAACTCACCTTAAACAGATTCAAACAGATACATCTTGAAGCTTTGGATAACATTTAATTAGCACCACTGCTGCACCGTTTATAAAGGAGGATAAGTAAAATTATCGGATTTCAACCGAAACGATGAAATCTTCTTTATATCTCATTTTCTTGTATTTTTTGATATGCTCATTATTTGCAATTATTTGCAAACATTTATTTCAAACTAATCTAATGAGAACGCGCGCGCGAATGGGATTGATCATATTTCTGTTTATATAATTCTGAGTCTTTTATTATTTTTATATTTTATTATATAAGTATATATTATATATATTTTCGAAAGTCCGCATCATCTTAGAGTACATATGTCAATTCTTACCTTCAAACGTTGCCGCCAATATTATTTTCCGAATTGATGAACGTTAATATTTCCATAGTTATACCTTTGAAGTGCAAATGAAATTCAAAACAAGTGGAAAACGTGTGATA